AACTAGTTTTTCAGGTTAACTTTGGAATGCCCTTGGCCGAGAGTAGGGGTCCCTGCAGATGGCTGCTGGTGGTGGTGTTGGGGAAGAGGGGCTTAGAATTGTATTTTTGGTTTATAAGGCTTAGACACAGGAGAATGAGGGCTAGCAGCATGCACCTGGGATGAAAGTCGGGAGGCAATGTGACCAAGAAAGCGGAAAGCCTTAAGGGGCCGTGACCTGCGGGCTGTCCTGAGCTGAGAAGGTCTGAGACAACTCAGCCTCATCCATCATGACCACGTGTCCCAGGTGCTGCCTGACCTGGGGAGATCAGAATGTCATCCTGGGAGACCTTTGCTAGGCTCTTCTGAGAAGGTTGTTTTTACCTGAACTGTGTACTTTATTTCTTTTCTTTTCTCTTTTTCTTCTTTTCTCTTTTTTTTTTTTTCTTTTGTTTTCAAGTAGGGAGGGAGGGGGTAACTAACAGCAGGTCCCCGGGTGGGTACTAACTCTGCACAGGGAATGGAAAGAGGAAGCCAGAAGATCTGCCCCTGGAGACCGGGGCGACCCTGCCGCAGGCCTCCACCACGTGACCATCCCCTTGGAGGCCATCTTTACTAATGTGGATTGCACTGTGGCTTCCCAGGCAATAGAGGCCACGGCTGTGGACCCAGGCCTGCTTTCTCAGGAACCGCTCCTCACAGAGCCTGTGGCCTGCAGAGAGGATTCATGCAACCTCAGAGACCCAGAGACCCGGAGACCCAGCGAGCCGGCAACCCCACCCGTCAGAGCAGGGTTCTCGCCCTATGCCCTTTCTTAAAGGAAACAAACCTGGATAGGGTGAAGTCTGTGGGCTTTACAAGTTTCACTGCCAATCCCAACCGAGGGCCACAGCTCCTTGTTAAGTCAAATTAGCATTGCAAAGAAATAAATAAAGGTATTGGAGAAAGAGTTATTCAGTGATTATGGAGCCAAATTGTGAAAAAATAGTACTCACACAGCTCTTCACTTCTTGTATTACTTCGTGCAACATTTTGAGACATCTTTTCTTCTTCTTAAGAGTACCTTAATTAAAATATAAATAACACCCATCATTCAATTATATTTAATTTAATTTAATGTTAATTAAGTTCCAAAATTGTATGACTTCATTGTCCATTTTATATCACTGTAAAATTTTCTTGTTTGTGTACTCTCCAGATTAGAACTTAGGGAAATTTCAGGTATTTGGAACCACTAGCTTTTACTTCCTAATGTTACCAAGTTGGGAGCAATTCTTTCAAGGAGCCCATTCTGCTGCAATATAGGGGCGTCCCATTGTGGGAGTTGGCTCTGACTCACCAGTTCCTGTGCCTTACTTCTTTTCTATCACGGTGGCAAGTTTTCCTTAGTATCCTCTCTGTTCTCAACTCACACAATCCATCCTGGTCACTCTCAGAAACCAAGGAACTCTTTTCCAACTCCTGATTACCTGGCTTTAAATTTGGTCCTTCAGACAAATCAACCCTGGTGGGGACAATGGCAGGCATCTGTTTTTCCTGACTCAGTATTAGTGACATTTGAGATTAGCACAGGCCCCCGTGCCCCATGTGTACAGGAATATACACATAAAAAAGGAGATACATGCACAAAAATTCAGTTGGTAGAGGCTAGGAACCAGAAATAGCAAGTACAGAAAATCAAGAATAAAACGTGTTGCCACTCGTATCCCATCTCTACCCCTTTTCTCCATCCCAATTGTTTTGTAAAATCCCTTTTAGAGAAAGACTAACCCGGTGAAGTGACCTGAGAAATATCGTTTTTTTCCTCCCATTTCTTTTTCACCATTTGCCAGCATTTCCAATAGCATTTTCATGTCTTCTTTCATTTTATATTTTGTAAAAACATTTTGAGAAATTCATCACAAATGGCAGGTTTACCTGATGATATAGAAAAATTTGCTGAAAACTGGAACTTTTTAGGAAAGCATATTTCACCAAAAAGTATTCCTCTTATTCAACATGCAGTGATACTCCTGCTTCATGGATTAAACCTATGGCACAGGGGGCCGACTGGGCGCCGTGGCTCATGCCTGTAATCCCAGCACTTTGGGAGGCCGAGGTGGATGGATCACGAGGTCAGGAGATCGAGACCATCCTGGCTAACACGGTGAAACCCCGTCTCTACTAAAAGTACAAAAAATTAGCCGGTAGCGGTGGCGGCGCCTGTAGTCCCAGCTACTCCGGAGGCTGACGCAGGAGAATGGCGGGAACCCGGGAAGGGCGGAGCTTGCAGTGAGCCGAGATCACTGCGCTCCAGCCTGGGCGACAGAGCGGAGACTCCCCTCAAAAAAAAAAAAAAAAAAAAAAAAAAAATTATGGGGCCCAGGGGGTGGCATGGAGAACGTAGTACGGAGAGTTTGAGAGGGAGGGAGAGATTGTCGCCTATAAACTAAGAGAGAGAGAGAAAATGGCACAAAATGTTTAGGTCTCGGAGTGAAATAGAAGTAGAAAGCTCTCAAAATAAAAAAAGAGACAAGCTCATCCTTATCTTTCCCCTCCTTTTTCTTTAGATAATGATTTCCTGGTTTTTTTCCAAGCAGGATAGAAGCATGTTGAAAAAGTTAAAACGGTGAATGTTAATGAAAGCAAATGGGACAGTGCTGGAAAAAGCATCTCTCTATGAGAAATGTACCTCCTGAAGGGCCTGTTCAAAGGAAAATTCAATGAAATGTTTTTGGAAAATAAAAAAATTATTATGAGATTTGAGCAAAATACAGTAACCCTGCTTATTGGAAATGATCAGCGCTTAAAAATGTATCTCTGTGTGCCTCTTTGTGGCTCTAAGTTGCCTCCCAGAAGGTCAAGTTTTTACTTGATTAGATCTGGACTGAGACTAAAATATGTAGTTAATTCAATCACAATCTTAATGGGTCTTTATTTTTGAAAAAATTTTAGCTTTTCCTTTAAAACTAGTTTAGATCTTTTCCAAATCTTCAGAATCAAAATATGTGTTGGTAAAATTAAAACTGTTAGTAAGAATATGATTGGTAAGAGAAATTATGGTAAGAATAATTTTCCAAGAATAAGAAGAATAATTTTCCAAGAATAAGAAGAAAACACAACGCAATTTTGTTTTGGGAATTCTTACTCATTTAGGCTGTATTTCTTTAATTTTCTGTTTAATTTAATTTTCTTATCTATGTTCAATTAAAAAAATAGGAGTTTGAAATGTGCTTCTCTTTATTTTTGGACTTTCGCACCAATATATGCTTTATTTCTATTCTAGTCTGAGGCACATTTCTCCATTTGTTCAATTTCTTTTCCCTAGTTAGCTTACTTTTTCTAAGTTTTTTCTCTTTTACACTCAGAGGTAACCTTGAAAAGCTAAGTGTGACATCTTCATTTCTACAGGTGTGCCTTGTTGGGGAAATATAATGAAAGTAAAATCTCCCAACCCAGAAGTCCTCTCCATAAAGGTATTGGAGAAGGAAAGCACTTTAATTATAGAATAATCATTAAGCCAGAACGTGAGTGCATCACAGCCAATCTGGTAAGAGTTTGCAAAGACAGAAAGGAACCTCAGCCTTTTGTATGGCTGAGCTGATGCAGCCCATTACATATATGTTCTTAAGCACTAACTAGCCTTCAAGTAAGGGGACTTGACTGCACCATTTATCACACATAATTTGTCCTAGATTCACTTGGTCTTAGGAGTGACCTTGTGTGTTAGTTAATGGGATTTATTCTAAATAAAAAATAAACTCTTCTTATCTTCATGATAAGAGGTAGTTTAACTTGGAGCAAGGTGCCCATCGAAGCTGGCCTCCTACCCTCCTGCAGAAATTGCAGATAGGGATGCTATCTCCTTTGATGTTGATGTTTCAAAGAAATGACTCCCACATTCTTCATAATGCTGACGAGTCCTACCCAGCGTTCAGAAAGGTTTGGTTACATTGCAAAGAGGAGAAAAGACTTAAAGTAACAGGTTTTCTAAGGAAACTAAAGAAAGGGAGGGAGGATTGGTCTCTTCCTTTATTCTCCACAGAGAGAATTAAAACTATTTAAAGTATTTATTTGTCCTTACACCCTGCAATAATGCATGCTTTTCTGTTTAACTGACAAATGGAGATTGCCAATGGTATGGCTGTCAACAGCTATACCAGACAGGATGAAATAGCACATCAATGCTTGGAAATATATTCAATCATATAATTAATCATATCATAATTTTTTGTAGTAAATTTTTCTATAACATGGTTTTACTCTTTGGAATCACCTCTTCTTTTATTTTATTGAAAAATGATGGAAAGGTCAGTGGTGATGCCAATGAGGATTAAGGAAAAAAATACATTAAAAAGCTGACCAAAGAATAAATGTTTGGGAGGGCACAATTTTTAGAAATTGAATTTGGGAGCTATAGGCACTCTTCATAACAACAACAACAAAAATTGTTTAAGATTTGTTTATTTATTTAATGAGCATTCCTCTATGGTATGCATGCCCACCACACAATGACCAACATATCTACCCGCCTCTTACACAGAACAAGTCAAGGCTGTGTACTCAGAACCTTTGTAGTAGCTACTTGTCATAGGTTAACAGGCGCATGGATCAGACTTAAAACCAGTCGTCATTCTGGGCACAAGGTTAGCCAAGCCCAAATAAGCCCAACATAGCCACATCTGATCCATAGATCAATGAGAGGGAGAAATAAATATTTCTTGTTGGAAGCCACTGAGTTTGGGGTTGGGTTTTAAAATCGCCATTATTGCAGCAATAATGAAGATACCCTTAATATCTTTTTAAATATACTTTATTTTTTCAGAGTAGTTTTAGTTTCATAGAAAAATTGAGCAGAAAGTGAGAGAGCTCTCATGTGCACCCTCTGTTCCCATATGGACAGGTTCCCTCACTATCAATATTCTGCACCAGAGTGATCCATTTGTTAACAATCGATGAAGTTACTTAATACATCATTATCACTGAAGACCATAGTTCACATTAGGGTTCACTCTTGGTGTTGTACATTCTATGAGTTTTGGCAAATGTATAATGATATGTATCCAATATACATTATATATAGTGCCATGCAGCATAGTTTCACTGTCCTAAAAACTTCCTGTGTTTCACCTAATTATCTTTCCCTCCCTACAACCCCTGGCAACCACTGATCTTTTTACTGTCTCCATAGTTTTGCCTGTTCTAGATATTGTATGGTTTGGATACTTGAATACAGCCAGAGCTGAAAGAAGTCACTGTGATTGAAGTGGGAAAGGGGAATAAAATAATATTTGATTGAAGTGGGAAAGGGGAATAAAATGATATTTGACAGATAAGCAGGGGCATTTTCATTTAATACCTTGTAAACTATGGTAAAACATTCATTGTTATCTGATGTACCATGGAAAGCTATAGAAGAAGAGATCTAAGCAAATGAAAAAAAATTTTTTTAAACCTCTCTTTTAGAACATAGATGTTGGAGGTATAAATGATAGGTATGTAAAGTCTGTGAGCCAGGGAGAAATAAGCAAAATACACAGGTCTTGCACCTGCACCATAGATCTGGGTGGATGTGAATATCATTACTGAGATGACTGGGTGACCAGGTATAAAGCGAGATTGATTGCTTTGGGGAGCAGTTAGGAATGACAAATGACATTTGAAATGTTTAAGTTCGTTATGTTTGAGATATTTATGAGATAGTGCATTCTTCTTCTATTGCTGCAGTAACAAATTATCTCATACTTTGTGGCTCAAAACAACATAAATTTATTCTTTTATCTTAACAGTTACAAGTAAACGCTTTAGGTACATGTATAAAAATAATTTTCTAAAATATATGTGTTTAATAATAACATACTAATGAATATTTGATCTTATAATTAAATCAAGTATATAATATTTTATAGCCAAGAAAACTTTACAAATATATCTTCAGAAATGATGCTCTAAGTGATTGGGTTAGGGAGGAGATGGGGGGTGTTTGTTTCATCCTAAGCTTATCTGGAGAAAGAAAATTCAGTTTTAAAATGGAAGTTAAAAATACATAGGTTCTTTTTTAAAAAAAAAACAAAAAACAAACAAAAAAACCCATGAATTCTGGTCAGGTTTTACTCAACAATAGTTGCCAAGGAAAATAAACATATTTACGTTTAAATAACATGAAGGCTTACTTTTCCACACTTCCCAGAGAAATTATTCAGAAACACATACCAGAACTAAAGTATCAATACGTTAGAATACTCCTTATCTAACGAAGTGTTTTCTATAGTTATTCAGTGATTGATGGGATAGGCTTTCTCTGCTTGGGTTGCCCTGAAAGTAGAATTTGAGGTAAGGGCTTGGATGCAGATAATTCATTTCACTGGGGAGCCCAGGAAACATGAATGAGAGAGCAGGAAGACTGTGTCAAAAAAGGACAAAGGCTAATTTAAGGATTTGTTGTGGAGTCTGCTTCCTGAAAATCTGGGAGATGGATTTCAAGGGGACTTCATGAGAAGCATTTGGAACGCCTCCCACAGTTCTTGACTAAGAGCAGAGGTGAAAGCATTTGTCTACTGGCCCTGGTCTCTGCTGGTTGAAGCTTTTGGGAAGTGCAGGCTTAAAGCTTCCAGGAACAAACTTGATAGATATCTCAGTTACAAAGTATCTTCTTTTCCATCTCATTTTCCTTATCCTAGAATGAGGAGGTTTCAAGGGACATCTGACCACATGGTGTGCTGTATTCTGCAAGTGCAAATTCATCTGAAAGACAGTAATTGTTATTAGAAAGTTTTATAGCATTGTTCAAGAAGAAAGCATCTTTATTTCTTATCTGTTTAGAAATAAATTCCCCTAAATCTGTGCTACTATAACAGTTTCTTTGCTTAACAGCTTCCAAATATACTGTATTTTTGTTCTTCTGATTTACATCACACTGCATGCATACCCATATGATCATTCTTAAGTGTTTCAAGTATGATGTTTTGTATATGATACATATTGAAACCTAACAGAGGTTAGGGTTTTCTCTTCTAGAATAAAGTGTCTATTTTACCACAAGAGCTGGAGGGACAGTGAAGACTTAGTTCAACCATCCAGGTTTTTGTAAAGAAGTAAACACATTTGTGCTTACCAAATGTGTAGGTACTCAAAGTTTGTAAACCACTGTTGACTTACACTTAACACTTAATAGTTTGTATCACTATTGATTCACTCCCTTTTTTGGATGAAATATTTATCAAGATAGCATGTATAAAACAGGTTTTTGTTTTCTCAAAAAGTCTGTGAGTCATTTATTGGCTGAGGTAATCTGACTTGAAAATAATTAACTTGTCATTTTAATTCTTTAACTGGTAAAGTTATTAGACCTATGTTTTAATGTGTTCATAGACATAATTTTTACCTAGCAAAAGCACAGTGTTCAGATAAGCTTCAATTTCGAAACAGAAGACCTCATTTAGAGATTGTATTCTGCTACTTAACTGTTTGATGTTATCAGTAAGAATTTACCTTTCCTGAGCCTTGGTTAAAACATTAATAACACCATAAGAACTTGGTTGAAAACAAAACAAAACAAAACAAAATCCAGAAACCCAAAATTATCTGACCAAGTTGGCTCTGATTATAAATATTTTATTTAAAAATTTCACTGTGCTAAGCAATACATGAATAGATAGATGGTAGCTAACCAGATAAACAGATGCCCAGACTAGCCTGTTGAAGGATGAGAGGCAAGAATAAGCTGATTCAGCTGGCAGTCAGCCAGCCGCCAATCAAGAGCCAGTACAATGCTAGACATATGAATGAGGCCTCCTAGAACATCTAGCTGACCAACTCACCAGGTGAATTACAGGTGCAATTCAAAGAGGGAAGAGCTGAACCAGCCCAAACCAGTCACTCTGCATCAATCAACTTGGCTGATCCATAGAATTGCGAGGAATAATAAATGGTTGTGACTTTAAAAATATGTTTTCTAAGAATATTTTTATGAACGTATCTTTATCATCTCTAATAGTATATGTCTCTTTCTCTCTTCAAATAAGCACATGATTTCTGTATCCTGTAATTCACACTAATGCATAAACTATGCCAACCTTCATAGCCATTAACTTTATTTTGCCTGAATCTATATTCAGCTAGATAGCCTACTTCACATTTATTTTCCAATAATTTAAGTGAACATCTTAGTGAGAAGACTGGTTAAGAAAAATCAGGCCAGTTTTGTCCATTTAGGTAGAAAAAAACCCTCAAATTTTGCTCTTGAAATTCTGATGCTTTTTGTATTAGGCAGTATGAACAGTTACAAAACACCAAATAAGGGAAGAAGATTTCAAACATAAGAACTGTAACAGCAGTAGGGAAAATGAAAATTGGTTTAACTATTTAGGTTGGTGCAAAAGCAATCGTGGTTTTCGCCTTGAATGTAATCGCCAGAACTGCAATTACTTAATGACAAAAACCGCAGTAACTAAATACGGTTCTTACCAGTTTCATAATAATCATAGAGCTGAACAGATGCTGGCTTGATGTTGGATACGAGTGCATCTTGTTTGATGGAGAATGAGAATTGAATTTCTTTTTGAGTAACCTGAGAATAAATCAATATTGTTATGCATATTGAGATGTATTCCCTCAACTTCTCTCCATTTCAAATATTCAGAATTATTTTAGCAATACTGTTTCGATACTTATGCTCTTAGGAAAACTTTTTTAAACATAAAAAAAACAAAGACAAAAGTAAAACCACATTGTGACTCAAGCATATACATCAACACACAAACCAAGTTATGACAGTAAACTTACATTCTCCAGATAGAAAAAGACATGAGTGGTCTTGATTTCTACTCGTTGTACTTTGCCATCTTCCTGAAGCTAAAAATAAGGAAGAAAAGTGTGCTGAAAATTCAGGGAACTAGGATTACAAACATCTAGTGATCCAAAGATAAAATATTTGCTTTCAACTTGGAGGTTTTCCTGCATCTTTATAAACACTTGCCATGTTTCTATAAAGCTTCAACAACAAATATTTATCTTTGAGATTTATTCATTCAACATTTTTGAAACATCTATCTGTATATATTAGATTCTAATTTTAAATAAATAGAACAATAGAATGAATATAATAATAACTAAACACTAACTCATTTACCTGTTTTTTAGTGATACACTGTTTTGACAATATAAGAATATAAATTAATTTGAGAACCTCAATGTTTTACTTTAAGATACACATAAGATTCAAATTTTACTCCTTAAGAATAGAAAAT